CCCCGACTACATAAATTTAAATGTGCCACTAGATGGGCAACTATGTTTCATCGTTTACTCGCCAGTGAAACTCCCTTCTGATTTCTTGCTTCCCTGATAACTACAATCTTCAAAAATTTTAAATGCAACGTCAATCACCATCTTCTGTCTTTTTGAAACCTGTTTTTTTTTTTATTCCTTTTCTCTACCCTCCCCCATTTACATTCTCTTTCACTTTCACTCCCTGAAAACCCCCTGCGTCCTAGTAGCATTATCGTCTTTCTTGGGGTGAAACGATTTAAAAAAATATATTTTGCTTTTTGTTTATTACAATGTTTTAGCGGTGTTTATTGGATAACTGGAGTAAAGTAATAAATATATACAATCTGTTTGCATAAATTCTGACTTCAAGTGTTATACTTAACATGTATAGCGTATATACTTCCTTAGTATTGGTAATACTCTCTTGACGAGGTGTACAGCTCCAAGGGGATTCCCCAAGGGTTGTCTTAATGTTCTCAACTCTATCTTTTTTCTATCGTATCCAGGGCTCCAATTATTAAACAGTAGTTTAAAACGCTACTTTTTTCTTCAATTTCAATATCCTCAGTATATTATTTTATCATATTCTGTAACAGAAAATTGAATCTTAATGAATCTGTTTGCCGTTCGTAAATTTGCGTGCTTATAGTGATTTTCTAAGCCCGGCTTAAAAAGGCCTAAAGTATGGGGCACCCAGTGAGGATCGAACTCTCTACTCAGTCGTAATTGATCTAGCAAGACAAGCTTTCCAACAATTACACCACGTCGAGGTGCCCACAAATGATTTTCTAAGCTCGGCTTAGATGTGGCACAAGGTCGAAAGTATGGGGCACCCAGTGAGGATCGAACTCACTACTCAGTCGTAACTGTTTTAGCGAGAATAGCTTGCTAACCATTACACCGCCTCGAGGTGCCCTATTTGCGTGCTTACATATTCAATCACATTTATGTGCATTATTTACATTACTCGGACTATTGTCCTCATTTTTGTCGACATGTTTAACACAACGTTTCGGCCGTTGTACGCTCCGGCCTTCTTCAGGTGATTGGAATGTTGAACTGAACCCTTTATTTTGCTCACTGGAGTAGACTGTTCTAGTTCCATATGCCATGTTTAATGAATGTCAGTTATCAGTTATCTCCTGCTAATTTCCCTCTGAAACTTTTCCACTGCCTTAACCGGGTATTGAACTCACACTCTTTGGGTCCTGTTACTGGATCTAACTAACGCCTTCATCCACTGTGCCATGTATTTGTCTATTATGATGTTATGTCTATGTCTACTCAGAAATAAACTTTTATCCCTTGTCCACTAAACCTATCATCACGACCCTGTCAATGTAGCTGACTCTGTACACATGCATTGTACCTGTTACTATCGCTCAGATTCGGACGAAAAATTCAACCTATTTCTAAAAACAATACATGAAAGTTTAGACATATTTTCTCCGTTTTTTTCTTTCAATAATTTTGTAAGTTTCTAAACATGACGATTAGAGTTTAATATACATAACTTTTATTTTTTTATTTTTCAATTACAAAATATTGGAGATTAATTGTTTATCCTGATTTCCTATAAAATCACATACTTATTTTAAAGCATTAATAAATTGTATTTAAGGACCGTTTTCAAAGGTACTTGAATTATCATCTGCTTGTAATTTGATTGGCCATTACATATTACGTAAAAATACTGAGAGTAGTGGTTGGTTTTTGAACTCTTTAAAAACTCTTTATTTCGACATTCCAACCACCTGAAGAAGACCGAAGCGTACAACGATGAAACGTTGTGATAAATATGGCAACAAAGATGAGAATAGTCCGAATAATGTAAATAGTGTACATAATACCTCATCTCAGAAATATAGACAGATACTCTTTATTTTACTAGCAACACCGTCACTTGACAAGACACCAGAAGTGTTGAAACAAAATGGCTATTTTTGTAGTGATATTATATCATACTTATGTTATAATTTTTAAATAAATATTCTGTAACAGATATATTTTTATTTTATGGCATTGCCATATCCAGGAGTAGGCTTTTGATTTTTGTTTATTTTTTTTTTGTTGTTGTTTTGCGGGTGGTGTTGGGGTGGTTTTTTTTCTCTCTCTCTCTTCTTTAATCAAACGTCTGGTCTCGTAGCTTTTACGCTTGTAACCTTCTGGCTTTCTATGACTGTTTCAAGATGATGTTCATGCTATTTTCGGCTTGTGGCTCACTTAAGTTGTTCTGTTAATAACTGATGATGTCGTGTTTAAAAAAATGCCATCATTGTTAAAAGAAGGTGAAAAGGGAGGAAGCAAGAAGAATAATTAGATACTGAATAAAAATTTCTAAAAAAGAACTAAGGCAGAAGGAAATAAGGAATTCAAAGGACGAATGAGAGAATGATTTTTAACTTAACAAAGATAAAGTTACAAATAAAAACGAAACAAAAATCGACAAATATTCGAAAAGATTAAGAGTCGTGCTGATACGTGATTGAGATAATTGGAAAAATTAATTTTGGCCACGTTGATTAGTGAGATCAAGAGAAAACAAGAATTTTAAATGTTGATATTTTAAAAATTTAAGTTTTTTTAAAAATTGAGCACTGTTATCTGACAAGCTAATTCTAAAAACAACGGTCACCGGCGTAAATGCGAAGCTCTTCAGTAAAATGAATGGGGCACTATCGCTGCTTGGCGTTTGTAAAAACAATACACTAGATTCAGCTGTCGAGTGAAGATGGCTTAGTGGTAGAAGCTCTGACTGACACCAAATCAGTTGGGTTTCGATCCGGGTTTGAGGCATTCCGTTGTCTAGTCGCACTGAGATGATGTAATACAGCGAAAAAGTACTGTCTGCGAAAATATATATATATATATATATATATATATATACACACACAAGAATTTTAAATGTTGATATCAAACACGCTATATTCTACTTTCAGTAATCTCTCTCTCTACTTTTTACCTTACTAAATTAAACCTATGAAATTGATGTCACTTCACAGAGTTGCGAAAGTGGTTAGTCCTTCAGTCAGTTTCCAGGAGTCGAACAAAACAGTTGCGTCGCTCCCCCGGGCTTGTGCAACCAGCTACCACGTGGTGCAGCTTACGCGCCTTTTTCCTATGGAAATATATCTTCACCAGATATAGAAATTACCTCCGGCTCGTTGTCCTTATGTTGGGAAAAACCCATGACTCGCTGTTTGAGAATAATATGTCCTCGTTAGTGATATAGCAGATAAATCCAGCCCCACCCGAATCTGGAATCCTAAATATGATTTCTCCAGAAACACAGAAGAATCTCCGGCACAGTCAATTCCTGTTGGGAATTATAAGTAAGACCCTATCTTTTCGTTCACTTTTTCACATTGCATGCTGTTGTAGAAGTGTCATATAATTTCTTGGTGTAGGATATGTGTATATAATTTTCTGTACGAGTTAGCGGCATAAAACTCTAAGAACAGAACATTTTTGTCATTTTATTCTTTAACTATACCGCTCCGTCGATGAAATTATATCATAAATATAATAATACCCATAATAGGGGGTAATAAACCTTTCTGCCATAATTCACTCTTTATATTATTAAAAATACATATTTGGTCTTCGTTGACGGAACTCCTTGCCTAGTATTAATGCGCTCATCAACTTTTTCTTCTGTGTGAAATAAGTGCTATGTTGGATCTGAAGAGATGCCTGCAGCCACCGCATGGTAAGGTAGAAGGGTTCAGAGGATGGATAGCTCTGGATTTTCTTTGAATTCTCTTCATCTTTTCTTTGTGTCTTCTGTTTTATTTTGCTTTTGTTTTGTTTTTTTTTTTGGCGGGGGGGGTCGTGGAATGCTTCTCTCCAATTGGTTCTTTCTGCAGCTCCCTTCTCCCAATTGATTGTGCCGATTTCTGTCTTCAGCAAGGTGTTTTTGAGCTGATCCTTGAATCGACGACGTAGGGCTCCACTTGGTCCCTTGCCAGATGCGAGCTTCGAGGAGAGGATTTGTTTGGTTACACGGATGTCTGGCATTCGAGAAAGGTGTCCGGACCTTCGAAATCGGTGTTGAGTTATAAATGGTTTATAGGTTTTCCATCTTTATGCGGAGAAATTCGTTGTTTGTGATCCGGTCCTGTCACGTTAGGGAGCAATGAAAAACACATTTTTTTTTAAGTTGCACTTAACTGTACACCAAAAATAGGTGTCATTTATTGTTTGCTAGTATAATAATAAATTGTACCTCGGTGACATCAATTTAATTACAATATTATTTGTGAGGTGCATCATATTAAAATATCCAAGGTAATAGTGAAATCTTTTTGTGTGTGGAACCTGGGCATCATTTTCTAGATAAAAAAAACAACTTTGCCTCATATATCTATCTCTCACTTTGTATCCCGTCACTTCAGTGCAAGCGTCAGTCATCACTTTTATCCCTCTTTCGACCGCCTGAGTAATATTTGGTTTCTTGGGCACTATTGATCGTGTCTCAAGAATGTCATTAACCTGTTGATCTGATAGAGAAGGAGGGTAAGGGGGCTCAGTCTTGAGATCATTCATCCGGTTAATCATGGAATGATCATTTTTGGGAGTCACCGTTTTTTTTAATGTTGACAACAAGCACATCCTAATAGCCATCTCCATCTTCGCTGTTCTCATCATCATCAGTGTAGTTTACCAAATCCTCGTCAACAGCAGTAGCAGAATATTCTTCATCCTCATCAGATCTGTTAGTGCATTCTTCAATCTACTGATTTTCCTCTCTAATATTTATTATCATTGTGACAGTTTTTTTTTCTAACACTCACGTCCTCATCTGCATATATAATGTGAGGAACGAGAAGAGTTACCTCCCGTAAAGCAAATTTGCTTGACGTGTCAGGTCCTGTTGAAAGATCGCGACCGGCATTAAAAAGGAATTTCGGAATAATCCATTTCCCATCTCGCGAGCAGGCGTACAAAGAAAAAAAAGCTTGAATTTATAAAATAGTCAGTCTCGGGCGAACGGGAAGTCAGTCTCGAGCGAACGGGAGGTCAGTCTCGGGCGAACGGGAGGTCAGTCTCGTATGCAAATTTTATTTTCCCCCGACGCTGGCATAAATAGCAAGTCTGTGAGGAAGACGGCCAGAACTTTTGTTGGTGTGACGGCGTACGTACGTTACTGGCGAGAACGAGAGAATAAGGAAGAGGTCACTCGCGACAGCTCAGTTGGTAGAGCAGAGTACGGAAGAAGAAAGCAAGCACTTTAATCCATTTCAGTCATCACAAACGATGGGCGAACTGAATTATCCACAGAACCCCTTCTGGAAAGCTTTCATTTCACAGAGGGTAATGATTGAATTAAATCAAATAATCTTCCTGTTAGACCGTATCTCTGAAGCTTACGTAGATGGCCAGGATGCCAAAATGGTTGGTTCCCTATACAGCGCTAATATCTTCCTGACTCCTTCTCCTTGACTCTGAACGAGAAGTAGATCAGGCCGAAAATGCAATACTGTCGCTGTGAGGAACGAGAAAACTTGCCTCCCACAAAGCGAATTTGCTTGGCGTGTCAGGTCCTGTTGAAAGATCGCGACCGCCATTAAAATTGAAATGGATTATTCCGAAATTCCTATCTCGCAGGCAGACGTACAAAGAAAAAAAAAAAGACTAAGAATTCAAACCCGCTTGAATTTATGAAATAGTAAGTCTCGGGCGAACGAGAAGTAAGTCTCGGGCGAACGAGAAGTCAGTCTCATATGCAAATTTTAGTTTCCCCCGACGCTGGCATAAATAGCAAGTCTTTGAGGAAGACGGCCAGAACTTTTGTTGGTGTGACGGCATACGTACGTTACTGAGGAGAATGAGAGAATAAGGAAGAGATCACCCGCGACAGCTCAGTTGGTAGAGCAGAGGACGGAGGAAGAAAGCAAGCACTTTAATCGATTTCACTCAACGCAAAAGATGGACGAACTGAATTACCTACATATACCAAGAAGTTGATCCGTGTGGCCAAAGTATGCATTTCTCTGGACAGTCTTCTTCCCTATCGTCTTCTTACTATTCAGGTGTTTCATATATAGCAGGGATTGGAATACGTTCCTTGATCCGCGTGTTACGTAACAGTGCATCCTGATGTAGAACCACATTAGAGCACTAAACTGTATAATTGTAATGACGATTCTTTTCAGCTAGTGTGTGTGGCTTAATGTTGCTACATATAGCCGGACGATTCTACTCCATAAAGTATTCCACCTTAGCACGCAGAAAGGACCGGGCTCAATAGCAGCCATCATCATCAACAACACCAGTAATAACTCCTTTATAAATGCTATACAGGTATCTCTGATCCAAGGACATATCTTTCTACACTTGTTCATTCAAGACAGGGAAATCAGTGAAACCGACTGGCTGGAAGGCAACAACTGGCAGCTAAGACAAAGGCTCCTTGATCTGCTTCCCAGTGTGGCCACGCAAATTCTCAGGATCACTTGATTTACCATGATAGTGATAGAAAACAGCTCGGAAACGTAGGCTCATTCCCGAGAAGCCGACAGATGATATAATAGGGAGGGTGACCAAGTAAAATTTCAAGATAGTGAATGGCCCCATTTTCTGATCTTACATTTACACTGGTCCCATCACTGCCAATACATACAATGTGCTACTGGGTTAGGTTTTTCTCCACCAGAAACTTGTGAATAGTTTTGGCAATCTTCTTTCCGTGTCCAGCCTTGGGAGTCACATATGTGAGATATCCATGCCAGGCTCAACCATGATGACATAATGATCTTGCACCATGATCCTCGAACTCCATTTATTAGTTTTCTAATTCTTTACGGTTGTCCTGGGTAAGACGTTAAACTACATCCGTGTCCTGGGTAAGACGTTAAACTACACCCACGTTCTGGGTAAGACGTTAAACTACGTCCAGCAGCAAGGACTCTGATCAGGAGGTTTTGAGGAGCGTGGAACCACTTCTTAATTGCTGGTGTCCCCAGGTCCACCCTGACCCGGGGTGGTAGCACCTGTTAGAGTCCCAACTATGGGTAAATAGTTAACTATTACCAGCAATACATTTTTGAAAACATTATTACCAGCAATACAATTTTGAAGGAAATATATTACCAGAAACAGATTTTTGACTAAACAAAATATTACCAGCAATAAAAAAAAATTGTCGGCATTAAATAACCCATTGAGGTTGATATGCCGTAAAATAAAATAAACCAATCTAAACCAAAGAATACATATTCTATTCATATGAATCTACCATAAAATTCCAGCATTAAATAACCCATTGAGGTTTATATGCCGTTAAACAAAATAAACTAAACTATTTCTTTACGGCAGCGAATGTTGGACGATTTCCTCAAACATGAATAAGTGACTCGTGACGGATGTGGTTCTACAGAAGGATGCTAAGGATATCACGGACCGAGCGTGTAAGCAACGATGAGGTCTTAGAGCGGATACAAACAAGGAGGAGGCTTATACTTAACATCAGGAAGGGGTAGCTGAAGTTCCTGGGACACGTAATGAGAAAGGAGGGTCTGGAGAACCTAATACTCACGGGTCGAATAGAGGGAAAGAGAGACAATGGAAAACATCGCATGACATACCTAACGGGCCTAAGCAAGTTGATGATCGAACGTGGTTTGGAGGAGGAAGAAAAGGGAAGGAACTTGTTAAGAGCTGCAAGGGATAGAGGGCGTGGAGAGCCATGATCGCTTACATTCTGAAATGATATGGCATAAAAAAGAAAGAAATTCTTTATCATCACACGAATGGTGGTCTTCTTACTATCATCTGAATTTCTTGCCACTTTAATCGGTATTTTTGTCTCGCATCTCGTAGCTTATGTGGTCCAATAATTTGACTCTGTCATCGTTAACGCTATAGTCCGTTAAGGCAGCAGTAGCAATGGCAGCACCAGCACAATGACTGATGAAGTATAAAGCGACAACTAGTGTGGGGAGTCTTGTCTTGTTCTGTGAGCTGGTGTCTATCATAGCTTTTGGATCGGGAACAAAACCAGCATCAGTATTGGCAGGAGAGGGATACCTCTTGAATCGTCGAAATTATCTTCATCATAAAGAATATATCCAGCTACCAGATCTCTCTGACTTTAATCAATGTCTGTTGGCTCTATCCGCATTATGCTTTTCTCTTAGCGTCACTGTCTCACATCATCGTCGCTTTCATCTCGATCCCTGCAATTTTCATTCTCCTATCATCTCGCTGATCAAACAGCAACTGCACCTCACTTTTAAGAACATTTATATCAGAATTACAGGCCAGGTGATATCAGTCACACTTAACTTTGCACTTCACATCCTAACAGGAGACAGCAGGGAGCGTAACAACAACAAATATCAAACAGCTCCTTAATTTCTTCCTGAAATATAGCTTTTTGCCCACATTCTTGTTATTAACTTCATTTTCTCTACTGTACAATTTTCTCAAACTTTCCTCCATTTTACGACTTAGAGGAACATTCTGTCTATCTCTAATTGCTTTTTCCCATAATTCTTAACAATCCTGGGTGACCATATTGATTATCATTGCGACATCTGCAAACTTTCCTTCATGCATTTATATCGCCAGCAGATCTGTAACATCTCGCCTTTCAAGAGAAGTTTGTTCACTGGAAGAATATTTGCAGCGCCAAACAATGCATGCTCTGTGGCTGCCCTCGTTAATACAGTCGCCATCACAATAGCACACTGACCAGTTAACCTGATAAGAAAAGAGAAAGAGTTAGTAAATGCACATTACACTGCACCAACACAAGTAATTTTTTTAAAATTTAGTTGCAAATGCTGCAGATTAAAACCTCAACCTATCAGCTTCAAATTTGGCATGGCGTTTTATATATGTATAGGGAACAATCCCTGAAGAGTGCAGCTTTGAGGAAAATTTCACTTCTCCCTACTGTCAAGTGTTCCGCAGGATTTGCTGATGTTTCCTTTGATGGAATCTTTCAAGTTTGCTGATTTGTCTTCGGTAGAGTATCCAAGTTTTAGTATTTACTAACCTTATCTTAACTCAGAGCATTCCCGATGAAATCTCGCTCCAATTCACATTTGGAATAACGTGGGGACAACGCTAATTAATACGCTCCAACGGCCGTAAATCGTGACAGTAAGCTGCTCAGGATTCAGCATCATGCAAAAGATTGGACGACACAATGATTTCAGACTGGTTTTTGTTATTCATAAGATTTGTGTTTCTGAAAACACTTTGTATATGCTACTAAAGGATAGATTAGACTTAGCTTGTTAGTTACCTATTACTCTTTCCATTCTGCTTTTAGAGGATATAACACTGCCAGGATATCCTGAACCACTTCCATCTTTATTGAGCTTACGAAGACACAAGACATTCTTTGTAAGGCTGATGTTTATTACGACGCCTGTTGCCGAATAGAAAAAAAAGGGGGAGCAAATTCAAAGTAGAAACAAAAGAAGTTCAAAGAACAAAATATAACAAGAAACAAAATGCTAATAATCTGAAGTACATAGAAATGATGGACACTTCACCCATATAAGAAAAAAATTTGGACATGTAAAAATTTATAATTCGTAATACATAATCAAGATGCAAAACCTTATTCAATGGAATTGTATCTGGGGTCAAAACACTATGAAAGTGTAAAAATAGGTTTTAATACCAGAAATACTTTGTAAAAAAATTATTTCCAACAATACATTTTTGAAAACCAAATGTCACCAGCAATGAATTTTTGAAAAAACAATATTACCAGGAATATATTTTTTACCAGCTATACAATTTTTTTTTCTTTGAAAAAAAAAAAAGAAAAAATATTATATCAGCGATACATATCTGAAAGAAAATTATTACCAGAAATAGATTTTTTGAAGGAAAAATATTACCAGAAATAGTTTTAAAAAATATATTACCAACAATAAAATTTTGTCGACATTAAATAACCCATTGACATGCCGTAAAACCAAACCAAACCTGTTGCAACCTTTACAAAGCAGGAACTTGCTTGCCGGAGAGTTGCTTCCTAGTGATAAAATAGCACCACATCTTCTGTGAAAGGACAATCGTGCCGCAGTCTTGAAATGGCACCACACACGCATTAGTTTAAACATGTCGCTATTTTTGTGCGTATCACAGTTGTCATGTCATCTCTTTTATAAGGTTACGGAATCTATCTAATAGGAAAGAAAGATGAAATGAAAATTAAAGGAGATGAGTTGTATAACAAGGACCGTTACGAGATTAATTGCATTACGTTTAC